AGGAAAAAAAAGGAAAGGAAATGTGCTGGAGAAAAGAAATAAGGCGGAGGAAAGGTTCAGGGAAAAAGGAAGGAAAGGATGACATGTAAAAGATGAGTATTGATATTTTGGAAAAAAGTGTTAAATGTATATGTACTGAAGAATGAAATGAAGGAAAAAAAGAAAAGCTACTGGGAAATATCGGGAAAAAGGGCAAAGAATGAAATGATGAAAAGAGGTGAGCGGGGGAGGGGCGGGGGGGGCGGGAAAAAAAAAAGGAAAACACATTTGAAATATAAATGTATTACAATTAGTGTATATACCTAATTTTGATATGCTAATTTTGTCCCAATTATTAAACTTTATTATACTGTATTGATTTAATTTGGGATTGTTTATAATGATTAACTTATTGATTGATTGATTAGATTATTCAATTTCTTGCTTTTTCGGCAAAGATCATTTCAACATCCAATGCTTATATTTCGTATTTAACAAGACATGCTAATTAATCACATTAACACCTAATTGAATACAGAATTCGTTCTTTTAAAATAAAGAATTCATCGTTCTAAAAAGAAAAAAAAGTTTTTTAATTCCTTCTAAAATGAATATGGTAATATTAAATGTCATGAAATTTCAAATGTAAATTATTCATTTAAAAAAATATTTAAGAAATTAAATCTTTCATGAAAAAAAATGAAAAGTTTTGATGAAAGATATTAAAAGTAAAAGAAAAAGTTTATAAAAGTTAATAAAATCAAAAAAAACGAATATTCCAATATCATTTAATATTAAATTATTTATGAAAAATAAGTTTGAAAATTATTATTGTAATTGCTAAAATTTTGGTAATAAAAACGTTATGATAATGATAAATGATATGTTAATAATGATAAATGATATGTGAATAGTGATAAATGACACGTTAATAGTGATAAATGATATGACATGAAAAACTATGCTGATAATAAATTAATCAATAATCAAATCAAATAATCAAATTAAAAAGAAAAGAAGAAAAACTAATATAATTTGCATATCCAACAATCACATAATGAATGATATTTTGGATAAATTTCAAATATATTAAAAAAAAAATGCATTTATTGAAGTTGATATATAATAAGGCAATGATTCGTTAAATGTAAGATCTTTCTAAACATTTATGATAGTATCCGGAAAAGTTGATATCTCACTGAATGTAAGATCTTTCTAAACATTTATGATAGTATCCGGAAAAGTTGATATCTCACTGAATGTAAGATCTTTCTAAACATTTATGATAGTATCCGGAAAAGTTGATATCTCACTGAAT